CTTTATACGTGCCCCAAAGCCAAACAGCTCTCCCCCGCCCCTTGTGCAGCAGGCCCCTCTGCTCCCACGCAGCCCACATAGCCCACCGACGAGGTGTAATAATGGCCAAAGGCTGTTCCGGCACGCACGTGCCCACCAATGCAGCCAATGGACCAAAAATGGTTCTGGACTTCGCCACCAAATGCACAATGAAAATGCCGAGCATATTCGGAAAATGGAAAATGGAAAATGGCAACGGATCCAGCCAATGCCAATGCAACTAACCAAGTTAAAGGCAACTTTTGCCCATAAATGTTGCCAACTACCCTCATCAAAAAAACAGAGCAAAAAGAGCAGAGAGAGAAAAATGCGGAAAGTATCTACAAACCGTAGAGCAAATCGTATGAAAATCAAGTTGAACATTTTGTTGAGGTTGAGTCGAACTGTTGAACACTCCAAATAATGCTGCAGGCCACCAAACCAGCTAGCCAAACGTGCGTCGTGATAGTCGAGGGCGAAGGTGAGGGCGGGGCGCTGCATTCATGTACGGCTAAATGTTTAATAGCCAAGTGTTGCTTCACCAGAATTTATGAAGGCTCTCAATATGCAGCAATAACCGAAATCGGTTTAAACTTTATAGATGAATAAGATGAGTGAACTCAATTTAATTGGAATCTAGTTGGATAATTTATTCATTTCCAAACATTATTGAACTTCAAATATTGCAATTTTATTACACAAATAAATTTAAGGAGTCTAAACACAAAAATTGCAATTTCCACTACTCGATTGCTTTGTGAGAATCATGTTGTGGCATTTATTTGCATAATTTATTATACATATATCCTATTAGCATCCTCTCAGAGTGAAATAAAATTATAAATATTAAAATAATAATTATGAATCAGCTATTAGAAAAATATATAATTTAAAATAAATATTAATAAAACATATAATATTCATTCGGGAAGAGAAATAAAATAATACAATCAATTATTTACAATTGAAACAAAATCAAAGTATTAACAAATATGAATAAGCTATACAAATTAAATATAATAAAAAATATATATAATAAAAATAAATAAATAAATATAAGTAAATCAGATAATATTGATTCTCGAAGATAAATAAAATTTTATAACATTTGACTATAACATATGTATATTACTATATATAAAATCATATTTATAAAACAGCAATTATTCTTTTCCAGACGCAAATAAAAATATGAGTAATTTAGTTACTATTTATTCTCATATTATAGATAACTTTGTCTTATATTATTTATTTCAAGGTCCGATTTTCATATGCTATATGCTAAAATATATTAAATATGTAATATATTATATAATTTGATTTATTGATTTATGATTATCTCTCGCTTCAAGTTTCTCTGAAGATATTTCATGCAATTTCCAATTGAAGCTTGATTTTTATTGCATTTTAAATTGTAAACTTCTGTCGCAGCACTTGAGTAATATGTAAATGTGGCCATTTGATGCGATATCTGCTCATGTACTTAACGTATTTTGTTATGCTCAATTGCTGGCCAATTGACTCTCTGGCCAGAGAGACAACGGGCAGGCAGGCAGTCAGGCAGGCCAGACAGACCGGACAGACGGGGAGAGACAAGCTGTGGGACATACTGCATTGGCCGGGCTTATCATGCGGCAAAGTTACAGGCAGCAACTCGAACGAGTGCTTACTGTTCAATGGCTGTCAGATTGCCTAGCTCAACAGCACTTCCCTCAAGCTGAGCACACACAGATGCACGCCCACCGAAGACAATAACCCAAATGCAACTGCCAATATTACTTAGTTACATCAGCCAACTTTTCCCTCACACACACTCACACACTCACACGCACACACTTGAATGGAACGAATGGAATCGACCTGAATAGAATAGAATCGAAATATCCCGTAGAGCTAACGACATAAACGACATACGTGCCGGGTCTGGCTGAATTGCCAGATTGGCTGAATGCTCTACTGCTAGCAGCAGCACAAAAGGCACAACTTTTTTGTGTGTGCTCCCGGGCTTCCCCGCAAAGAGACAGAAAACCGTCAAAAAGTAAATATGCAACAAACAATGGCATTATGCAACTGCAACTTTAAGTGCGCAGCGCTCAGCAGCAGCAGCAGGAGCAGCTTAACAACAATGGACCCCAAAATCCGATTAATGCAACTGCTATACCCTACCCAGCCCTATATGTAAGATGACGAGCGGAGCTGCCTGCCGTTGCTCTTCACTAAATACAATGAATCGCTTCAACACACACTCGCACACACACACACACACAGACACACACACACAGACACACATGGCCAATAAACAAAAGGACAAATGCGACGCATCGCGCCGCCCCAGAGCCAATCAATCGCTATGGCACCCCAGAGAGCACAGAGAGGGAAAGAGATAGGCAGAGGAGGAGCGAGGGGGAAATGAGAGAACGCGAGCAGGTTACAAACTTAGCAGGGACTGCTGTGCCACAGCGTGTGCACCGCACCACACCGCACCACACCGCACCACACCGCACCACACCACACCACACCACAGCGCACCACAGCGCACCACATTGCAGAGGCGATTGAACGTAACCTGACATGCGACCAGTTCAATGCACGCTCCCCTCGCCACGGGTCAGAATCCCGTGGAATGTAATAGATTTTTGTCATACAAGCTGAAATAACTGGAAGTGCTCTGGCCAAAAAAGGCAAACTAATGCACTGCACAAGGGGGGCAGACAGAAAACTAAACATCATTTCTGGAATTATCTATTTAATAAAATTGTAATCCAAATGCCAGCTTGCAGCAATATTTATTATTATTGCATATATCATATATTTATTTTGAATGAGTCTAGTTCAGTTTCAAGTACAAATAAATCTAAATGGAAAGTAAAACCGACACGAGGGTGATTCCATTTTAATTCTCGCCCCTCCATGCGAACTCGGAACTCCACACAGGCCTCAGTTGATTTTCCCTTAAACTGTTTCGGAATTTTAGGCTAATACAATTACAATGCCTGTTAGATCCTATATATATATATATAAATTAGGTCTGTGAGAAATTCAATTCCTCACAGACTTTTCCCACCTTTGCTGACTGAGAGATGTGAAGTACAAGATATGAATATTATTGTTTATTGCTCATGATCGTCTATAATAGATAAATCGTAAACTTCACTGCTGAGTTAAGAACTTGTATATTATTAGTTGTATCTTGTCTGATACAGATTTAATATATAAATACCTGTTTCCCTTTGAATCACGAGTCACCCTTTAAATTGATGAAATGGCATTTTGCAAACGAAACTAAAAATAAATTGAAGCAGTGCATCGCCGGTTCAGTAGATCAAAGCGTTTGTCTGCTCGTGTTGAACTTAATGCATGTATGCAACAGAAACGAAAACAAAAACAAAAACAAACACCAACACCAACACGAACTCAACATACGAAACACAACACACATATTAGCCGCAGACGGCCACGCCCAGTGTAATGCAGTTACAATTTGGCTAGCGTATCGCGCGCTTAATTCAATTACATAAACCAGCCAGCAGAGCGTTTGAAAACTTTAATTTGTATGCAAAGTCAATGCGAGGACAGAGCAAGGCGAAACAGGGCGGGGCGGGGCGGGGCGGGACGGAGCGGCACGGGCATGGCAATGCATGCTGGCAGCGTCATTGCTGTCATGTCCTTGCGCACTCAGGCGCCTAATCCTTTGAAATTGCCATACACACATGAACTCGCACACGAATACAGGCGCAAACCAAATGCCAATAGCAATACCAATGCCAATATACGCGAGCGAATGCAGTGGCTTAAGCGCTGTTTATATTACGCATACGCCGCGTGTGGCGCGCGCGCGGTAAACTCGTAAATAAGCAGACAAAGCGCATAAAATGTAATGCATAAATGCGCCTGAATATTGCATAAACGAATTACCAAATGTTAACTGCCAGCCCCAAATTAGTTAAAGGGCCAGACAGAGTCGCAATAGCAACACAGTTCGCTTCCCATTCCCATTCCCATTCCACTTCGCAATCGCAGTCACAGTCACAGTTGCTGCCGAAACATTTATAAATAATATTCGTGCATAAAAATTGCAAAGCAGCTTCTACCCAAAATCAAAATAAAAAGCTGAAAAAAAAAAACGTTTTTCTCATTTCCGTGGCGTGCTGAAAATATTTTTGCGATTTCCGCCACACCCTGGGCAGTAGGACACCTTCTCGCCTGCTCGCCTGCCCTCCTGCCCTCCTCCTGCTTCACTCGCTGGAATGGGCAAGCGGCACAGCATGAAATATAAATACAATACAAATAAACGCGTGTCGCGCATATTGCACAATGTTGAATTTATTTACAGCTCACACACTCACACAGGGTGACAACAAAAGGGACTGGGATGTCCCTCTCTCTCTCTCGCTCGTTCTCTCTCTGTGTTGACAATTTGTCAGCCTCCCATTTAGCCAGTTAGGCCATAAGCCCTGCAGACCATGAAAATGTGCTGTGAAAATTTGTTATGCGCTGCATTAAATTCTTATGCAAGAGCCAAACACACACACACACACACACACCCAAGCACTCACACACATGTGTACACATATCTACATATATTTGACTATAAAATAGATCACGTTGTGGAGTAGAGCAGAACGTAGCGCAGAGAAAACCTTCTGCTAGAACTAACGATTTCACTGAAATAAAAGCTAAAGAAAAAATCAAAATATTTTAAAAACTCCATTTTCATTTCATAATATAACGAGAAATTTTTAAATTATATTTTAATATAAGATTTGCATTACATTTTAAATTTTCATTTTCACATCTATACATATTATGATATGCATAAATTACATTCAAAATCTTTAAAAATCAATTTAAACAATTGTGATTCTTTAATTCATAATTGAAATATGCATCAAGAACAAAATCTTAATAAATATTTTTCAATTTTTTAACTTTATATACAACATACAACTGATAAGACTTTAAATACATATTTATGTTTATAATTATTATATTTTTTATAATATTAGATTTATATGAACGTTTTAGCCTGAATAGAAAATACCGTATGTATTTGCATGTAAAAAGTTGTCGCTTTTTGTTTGTCCCTCGACTCAAACAATGCTTTATTCATCAGGGGCTGTGCTAGCAAATTAGTTGAATTTCGTGAATTTTAATCACATATTTCGTATTCAACACTTTTGACAAACTCTATCATATAGTCAAGGGACTCGCCGACGCTGTCGCAGTCGCCATTCGTTCCACAGGCAAAAGCGTTGAAGCAATGAAATGAATTTGCACGCGCTCATAAATATTTTACATATGCATATTGGCCAACATCCTGCCCAACTACACGCGCTGGCAGCTTACTCCAATGGAGAGATGCCTACAAAACGTGAAGATGTTAGCTGCTGGCACGTGAAATGAATGCATATATAATACACGCACACACACACACACACACGCAGACTCACACATACTCACATGCATACTGCAAATTATTGTGACATAAAGTGCTTTGACAGCGACACCCAGCGAGGCTCTGCATCTGCGACTGCGACTGCGACTGAGCCTGACATTTGAATTGCTGCTGCTGCCGCTGCTGCTGCTGCTGCTGCCGCTGCTGCTGCTGCTGCTGCTGCTGCTGCTGTTGCGTGTTGCTGCTGCTGCTGACATTCATGCGCCACATAATTCACAGCATACTTCGAGGGTGACTGCCATTGCAAATTCAAATGCTGAGCAGCCGGTATAACGCGTCGTCTGATTAGTCCCGCACTCGTCTCGCATATAGCATGCATATGACATATTTAAGTGGGTTATGTTACGCGTGCACAGTGGAGCAAATGCACGCACACACACACACGTATATACACTTACAATAAAGCTCATTAAACCTGGCAACAGCCGGGCATAACAAAAAATAAATAAATATTACTGAAGCTCATAAGTCGCCAGTTAAGGCAAGTTATGCATATGAGTATATCATCTATATGTACATATACGATATGCTCTCACACACACATGTGCAATATATACATGAGCAAATATGTGTGTGGTCTTAGGCCCTTTGTCATTACTGTCGCTGAAATGCTTAAATTTAAGCGCCTTAACTTTAGGCGCCACATTGCCATCCAGTTGAAAGAGAGAAAAGAGACTGCGGCTCAATGAATTACAGCAATAAGTAGCAAATTTTCCATAATTTTCCGTCATTTCTCGTTCTTTGCTTTTGCCTTTTAGCAGTCTTTGGTTATGGCCAATACAAATGTTATCTGTGCCAAACTTGGCGTTCGAAATATATATATATATATATATATATATATATATATATATATATATATATATATATATATATATATATATAACTAGACTTTACTGTTTGATATAGCTCAAGTCTTTAAATGGGCTCGATAGAGCTTCATAGATATTGAAGCTATGAGCTTTGACCAAGTCTCTAGGAATTATTTACTTCTGCTTGCCAGTACTCAGCATCAACAACAAATTTTATAGACATAATGCCAAAAACTATTTTCAAGTACATGCCATAAGCAGTCTTCAAACTTCACAGACATCCTTACTTACAGCAACTCGTACAACTGCAATAAGTCGAGGAGCCTTGAAGACTTTGGAGCTCTGTGGGCGAGTGTTAAAGCACGTCATCAATTCAATTCCAACTGACAGCTGTATTTAATTACTTAGCCAAAGTACACAAAACTCCCCAAGGCTCAAACTCGAATGTGCAATTGGCATTGAGACCTTTATGAGCTGAGCACAAATTTCCTTATTAAAATTAGCTGCCAATGGCTCGAGGCTTCTTCAGGTTCTCCAAAATAATTGATGGTAATTGTAAAGCTAGTATATGCTACTATCTGAGTATCGATAAGTCTCAAATAAATTTATAATTCCACAAGTATTGCATATAAATACATATGAATGCATTTCATATTCTTAAGCCCAATTTCGGTTAGTAATCTTCTCTTCATGACTCACATGCAAATCAAGCATTCTAGAGTCATAAAGCAAAGATCTGCCTTAATAGAGTCAAAAGTCTTAATCGATATGTTTTCCTATTTCGTCAGGGAAGCAGGCCAATTATAGGCTAATCCTCAGCGATGTCTTGCCTTAACTTAATGCCTTAAGGCTTATCTCCCACTCCGCTCTGCTGTGCTCCGCTCTGCTCTGCCTACATCCAATTTGGTTAAGTCTCGCTGCAGTTTTGTGTCTGCTCGCTAATAAGCTCAGCGCATCTGTATCTGTATATCTCCACGGAATCTTCAGCTATAAAACTAGGCAAATCCATGCCGAAAAGCAAAAGCAGCAGTAGCAACAACAACAGTAACAATAACAAGTGGAAAACTGTCAAGACACGCTTTGCCAACCCGCCACGCCCCGCTGAGACCGTCTCTCCAGTAGCATGCCTTGTTGTTGTCCCTTGGGGCCATTTGCGTTTTTATTTACTTTTTCGCTTTTTTCGCTACCTCTGTTGTGTTTTTGTTATTTCTTTCACTTTGCCTTATCCAAAAGTAATTATTTTCCATTAAACGTAATAATGATGCCTGGAGACTGATAACAGCCGCTGCTGGTGCTGCTGCTGCTGCTGCTGCTGCTGCCTGTGGAAATTAAATTATGCGCCGTTTGTTTTTGCTTGCCGCGAACAATCCGCACTTCTCTGTTGTTGTACCTCGGGGCTAACTTTGTCACCTCAACAGAAAAAGACTTGTGACAGCGCCAAGTAAAAACAGCAAATATACACTTGTATTTACATATTTATATTTATATTTATATTTATATTTATTTTTATATATATACTCGACACACAACAACTGGAGCAGGCACAACAATTGCTGCGCGTCCTCGTCGAGGTTTGTTAAGCGCAGCCATAAAACGGCTCAGTACACTTGATCGACGCCGCAAATGACTTTGGCTAGGGTTGCCACAGCTCTCACACTCACACACATACACACAGTGGCTCTTCTTCTTTGTCTGGTGCTGCCTAGGTACACTCGAGTCTAGGCCTGGTCCTGGTCCTAGTCGTGGGTCTGCTCCTGGGCCAAGTGCACGCCTCGCTGGTTCACTATGCGTTTATCAAAAGCATACATAATATCTGCGATATGGCCTGCCTCTGTCCCTATTCCTGTGCCCGGGCACATTATAACAAATTTCTCGCTTGCATAAGCAACACACACTCAACAAATATGGGCGTGTGTTAGCTTATTAGAGATGTGCGCGTGAGCGTAAAATTATACGCAAATACAAATACGAAAGTTTTCCCTTCTGATTGGATCTAATTGTTCAGTGCTATTAGAAATTGAGCATTGCAATTGGAGTTTGGAGGCTCGTAAAATTGATATCAATTAAATTATAAATATGCATTTTAATAGAAAACGTTGTATGCAGAAGCATTTACACATACCTCAATATGTTTAGTTGAAATTGATATAAAATTATTATATAAGCAATATTATTGGGATTCTCCTTTTATTTAAGGTCAAGTATATGCTTTTATTTTGTTGTAAAATATTTGTTTGCATTAAATATGTTTGACAGAAATTTACATATATTGATAATAATATTACTATTATTTTTCAGAAATTTTCTTTTTATTAAGAGTCAAGTAAAATATTTGTTGATTATTTTTTCTTTTTTGTTCAATTTTATATTGTAAATCAAATACTTGATATTCATATCGAATTTTGATTTAAAGTAATTTCGTATAGCACGCGTTCATCTCTAATCAACATGTAAAGCATAAAACGCTGGCTCGGCTAGCTGCTGCTATATCACTGCATAACAAATGCCCGACACACACACACACACACGCACGCACACATATGTGTCTCTTAGTGTATAGAGCAAAGCGTCATGGCGGCAGTCCATAAAAATGGAACGGAACTGCAAGTAAATTAACAGGCTGGGCACATGAAGGCGGCACAAAGCTAGAGCCCAAGCTAGAGAGCTCTCCGAGGCAGGAGGCAGATGGTTAGATGGTTAGATGGTTGGGTGAATGTCTGTTACTCTATGTGCCTTGTTTTACATAATCAACCCTGCATATGTGCCTGTGTGTGTGTATGTGTGTGTGTGTGTGATGTTGGCTACTTAAGTTACACAATGACATTTTTCAATGTGTCAGAATTTTATTGTTGGAACTTGGGGCATTGTTGTTGACAACTGACATATTTCTTTCTGCAGCTGACAGAGCGTCATGGCTGGTTTTCCTCTACTGCTGCTGCTGCTGCTGTTGCTGCTGCTGCTGCAACTGCTGCCTCTGTCTCTGTCTCTTCTTCTTCTTCTTACATTTCTATTACATTTTTACTGCTGCTGTTGCTGTTGCTGCTGCTGTTGCTGTGTCCGGAACTGTTGCTGCTGTTTTTGCTGTTTTGTCTTGAAATGTTGACAACTGTTTTGCCACTTTTGCCGTAATTGAAAAAAAGAACCATATTCAAATATTGTTGTGCTACTGTAATTCAAGTCATTTTCGAGAAATGTAACTGGAAATTTGAAAGAAATATATTTAATCCCCCAGATGCCCATGAGCCGACATTCAACTCCTGCACTGAGAGTGGCCAAGCAACAATTGCTTTAAGAGAGCGAGAGCATTTATTCAATCTAAAGAGAAACAATTATAAGACCATAGATCATAGTCATCCCAAATGGGCGAACAGAACTGCAAATTAGAGGAAACATTAAGGTTTTTTTTATGAACAAACCATATTAGCAAAAGCATTATCAAGGGAGATAATGATTTATAAATAATAATAAGGAAAATATTAGTAAAACTGAGCTTAAAACTTTTTTGTCTCTTTAGAATCCACTTGGCCCATTCTAGCGAGCCTTGAGTAAAATATCTTTAATTGCCTGGCATTTATTTTCGCTCGGAGGAACAATAGAAATAATCAACACACACACACAAACACTCACACAGATAGAGCATAAGATGCAGCTGCACAGAAATTCGAAATCTCAAAGAAAACTGTGAAATTTTTGCAAGCTGCAATTGCAATTGCAATTGCATAGATAAGAAAAGCAGGAGCTGCTGTAAGTGCCTGCACTATAAGCAGTGCATTACTAGCAGTGTATTCATAAATATATATACAGACCTACACACTGGCAGAAATTCCACCGAATTCCCGCTTATTGTTGCCCGACTGCTGAAACTGTGCGCCAACTAAAGCAATTTACAGTTCCTAAAAAACAGGCAGCCGTGGCATGCAAGTGACCTGGCAAGGAGTCGGCTGGCTGGCTGGCGGGAGGGCAGGCGTGCGGGTGGCACAGCCAAACCAAACAAATGGAAAAAATTCAAATTATCTGCAAGGCAAAAATAAAGGGAAAACGCAGCAGCAACAACACCAGCAACAACAACAACCACAACAACAACAACATCATCAAGACTCTGGCGAAGTGTGTGCCAAACTTGAGTTCTTTGCACACATTCTGGCACTTGAACATTTTTCTTATTGTGGCCCCAGCCAAGAGCAGCCCTGTGCGGGTAGGCGGCGAGAGGGGGGCGTGGCTAAGGGGTAGTTGGAATTTTTGGTGGAACCAAATTGCGCGCGCTGTTCTCTAACGTGTTGGGCTTAAGTTGGCTTGGTTTCTGGTGTCGGTTTGGGCTCTTGTGCGAGAGGCAGAGGTGTGTGTGGCTGTTGTCTGCCTTTTGGCCATTTTATTTGCATGCCAAAAGGCAACACCAGCACACGCGCACACACACAGACGCAGACACCAGCTAAGTGAAAAAGTGATTCTGCGTTATGTTTTTCTTTTATATATACACTTTTTATAATATTTTTTGCGTTTTCTTTTTTTGTGTGAAGTCAGGCAACTTACTTTGGGCTGCTTAATGCATGAAGGCAAATGAAAAATGAACTTAATACAGTTGCAAACTACACGAGCAACATGAGCAACGGGTAATTGCACGCTGATTTGCAAAATGGCCAAACTCTCTCACGCACACGCACACAGACACACACATACACACACGCAATACTTGGCTATTAGCTGGCTTAAAGTTGCTTGGTCAACTTTAAGCCAGCCACTAACGGCCGTAAATGTTGAGCTGCTCTGCGGCTTTTTGGGCCAACAACTTTTTCGACAAGCTGCACAAAAATGCTGAAAAAGAAGAAGAGCTGACAGTTGGCATTTGCCAACAGTTTAACAGTTAAACAAAAT